GCGAGCGTCTTGCTCTTCGCGTATTCGTCGCACGAGTCGACGTTCGAGACGTCGGCCTCCGTGAAGATGCGCGGCGCGGTGTCCTTCGGGTCCCGGCCGGAGCTGATCGCGACGACGGACGACGTCACGACGACGCGCTGCACGCCCGCCTGCTTGGCGAAGCGCAGGACGCGCTCCGTGCCCTCGACCGCGGGCGCCACGAGCGACCCCGCCTCGACCTCGCCGATGGGGAACGGGCTCGCGCAGTGGCAGCAGTAGGCGCACCCCTCCAGCGCCGCCTCCCACCCGGCGTCGCTCAGCAGGTCCGCCTCGACGAGCTCGACGTCTTTCAGCGTCGCGTGCGCGGCGAGGTGCGCGACGGCCGCGGCGTTGCTCAGGTTGCGCACCGTGCCGCGCACGCGGAAGCGCTTCGTTTCCAGTAACGCGAGTGCGACGTGGCCCGCGACAAAGCCACTCACGCCCGTCACGAGGCAGACAGGCAGGTCCATATGTGCGTTTTTGGGGCGTCGGCTGTCGCGGCGCGGTGGTTGGCGCGTTCGGCGTGTCTTATTGCCGCCCAAAGGCGCCGCGAATGCGGCGGCGATTTGGTGTTTCCACACTTCAAGAAAAAAAAGAGAAGAAAAAAATCGGCGCCGAAGGCGCCGTGGGGCGGCGCCGAAGGCGCCGGGAGGCGGCGCCGCAGGCGCCAAGAGAGCGCCGCAGGCGCCGGGGGGAGCAGGAGATAACAACACGGGTATTAAATCTACCTGCCGCCGCGGGCCGCGCGCGGCGCCGGCCCGCGGTCGGCGCCGCGCGCTTCGCGCGGCGGGCCTGCGGCGCGGCGCTCGCGGCCTGGGCGGCCCGCGCGCGGCGGTCCGCGGCCCTGGGCCGCTTCCTCGCGGCGGGCGCGGGGCCTGCGGCGCTCCGCGCGCGGTCGTGGCGCCGGCGGCTCGCGCGGGGCCTTGGCGCGCGGCGGCGGCGCTGGGAGGCGCTCCACCGCGGCGCGGCGCCGGCGCTCAGCCGCTGGTGGAAGGCGCGCGTCGCCGACGTCGAGGGCCCCGCGGCCGCGGCGGACGTCACGGCCGATCCGGCGCCTCCGCCACGTCGCGCCGGCCTCGCGCGGCGCGCT